TCCCTAAAGAGAGCTGCGGCCCGCATTGCGCGCAACCGCCCTAAGCCCCAGCGCTATGATGAGAGGGTTTAGGGTTTAGGGTTTAGGGTTTAGGGTTTAGGGTTTAGGGTTTGGGGTTGAGGGAGGGGCTTAGGGGCTTAGGGTGTTAAACTTCTAGGCCTAGCCAAGATGTTTTTCTTTAGCTTATAGTAGCTTGGAAATTACAACAAGGGTAACCCTTTTTGGGTTGGTTACTTTGGAAGGGAACCTCGACCCCCGAAAAAGGGAAAGGGCGCCCCTGCGCTACCAAGCCCTAAACCCTAAACCCTAGACCCTAAACTCTAAGGCCAGTTTTTCGTATAAGTGCTCCTCTTCAGCCTGGTAAGGGGGACATCGCACATGCTCATTCATACCAGCGGCCCCCTGAGAACTCCATGGCGGTAGTTGGCACCAGGGCCACCACGCCAAACACGGTGAAGACCTGAATAGCCCAAAACCCTGAACCCTAAACCCTAAACCCTAAACTCTAAACCCTAGACTCTTCGGGATTTTGGGATTAAGGTTCGGGTTCGGAAGAAATCCCTGGCAAGCCCTATCTCTTCGACCAGAAGCACAGCTGTTCGTGGGGCCTCGTGGCCTTTTGAAGTGTGCTTTCGGATGTCGGACACGGGGGCTACAAGTTGAGCTGTCCCAAGCCCTAGCCCTAAACCCTAAACCCGAAACCCTAAACCCTAAACCCTAAACCCTAAACCCTAAACCCTAAACCCTAAACTGTCTAGAGTCTAGAGTGCAAAGTTCGGGGTTTGATGTTTGGGGGGGGGGGGGGGGGGGGGGGGGGGTTAGGGTTTGGAGAACAGAGTTTGGGATTTAAGGTTGGGAAGTCAACAGCTGTCACATCATACACAACTCATACCCCCAACCCACTGCAGCCCCAAGCGCTCTGCCCACTAAACTTGGGATGTTCCCCCTTCTAACAGTCCTTTATGGAGATGATAATACGGGGTACTGTAATCCCTATGAAGGACTGTTAGTATAAGGGGGAACATCCCAACACTGAACCCTAAAACTCTCAACCAAGTATGTAAACCTCCAAACCCCTAACACTCGACACCTCCCAAGAACCCTCAAATACTTGAAGCCCTTAGAGCCAAACCCTTAAGACACTTAAAACCCCAAACATCCCAAAAACCCTGAGCACTACCCTAAACCCTAAACCCTAAACCCTAACCCCTAAACCCTGAACCCTGAACCCTAAACCCCCAAACCGGGCGCAGGGCCATGTAGGCCACCATGGCGTACTCGGAGGCTTCGATGTACCGGATGGCTGACTTCACCTGCTCTTCTTACAAGGTTTAGGGTTTGGGTTTAGGGTTTAGGGTTTAGGGTTTAGGGTTTAGGGTTTAGGGTTTAGGGTTTAGGGTTTAGGGTTTAGGGTTTAGGGTTTTGGGTTTAGGGTTTAGGGTTTAGGGTTTAGGGTTTAAGGTGCAGACTGACGGTCAAAACTTCTTCGACTCGTGGGGAGTAAGGTTCAGGGTTTCAGCCCTAAGCCCTAAGCACCTGGAGCCCCTCTGAAGGGTTTAGGGCTTAGGGTTTAGGGTTTAGGGTTCCTCACTGAATCGGCAGCCCCCTACCGTCGACCCCAAAAGGATTGAGATTTTTTGGAGCCGTAGGGTTTAGGGTTGAGGAGTCAGGGCACACTATAGACTCCGATACGAGATATCTGGCCAAAAAACAGAAAACCCCACCCTTATGTATCCGGTGTAGGGTTTCGGGTTTAGGGTTTAGGGTTCTAGGCCATCCAAAAAAATCATTCTAGAAACTCCGCCCCCCCCCCCCCCCCCCAACCACAAAACACGGGAATCCCCACGTATGACATGTAGGTCGGGATGTTCCCCCTTATACTAACACATTCCTTACTTGACTTGGCTGCACTTAGGAGGGTAGCTAAAAACTTAATGTTTTGCTGCCTTACTAAGAAACCCAATAAACCCAAAAAGGCTAAGGATCCAAACCCTAAATCCTAAACCCTAAACCCTGAACCCTGAACCCTAAACCCTAAAGCACCGCAAAGTTGAGGGCTACTGGGGCTCCCTGGTCGCTGCTGCGCCGAGCCGCGACATCCTTGAGCTGATTCCCAATCCCAGAGTAGCCTGAGAACGACTCTTCGTTTAGGGTTTAGGGTTTAGGGTTTAGGGTTTAGGGTTTAGGGGGCTTAGGTGATTAGGTGCGTAGGCTTACGCTCGTTTTTTTGTTTTGGTTCCGTCCAACTTCAATCTTGCTGATCTGCCCAACTCAGCCATCACACGAAAAGCAGGAGCTAAACCCCAAACCCCAAACCCTAAGCCCCACACCTAAAGACCAAAAAGTCGCGTCGGTCATATCCCCCCCGGCGCCGTGTCACAGGGCTTCGGGCCAGGGTTCGGGGCCTAACCCCCGAAACCCTAAACCCCAAACCCTACTTGGAGGTTCATGGGTACTTATAACCCCAACTAGAAGTCTACATATCACCTACTTAGAGGACTTTGGGGGCCTATCAGTACAGTTCTACTTGGGGTTATAAGTACCCTGAACCTCCAATAAACTGGTTCTTAGTAAAGAGTGCGGGAATTAAGTGCCCCATATATACCCATCAAGGGATTCTATAGGGCCCTGATTCCCTCCTTCCCTACTAAGAACCAGCCAGCCCTCCTGAAGGGTTTAGGGTTTAGGGTTTAGGGTTTAGGGTTTAGGGTTTAGGGTTTAGGGTCTGAATCAGGGCCTAGCAGCCATAGGCCTTGTAGAACCCCGCGACTGCCAGGCCAATCAGGGCCACTTGCAGAAGATGGGAGAGGACCACGCGAGAGGGACCTCTACAAGAGTCTCTGAGCTCATAAACCCTAAACCCTGAACCCTGAACCCTAAACCCTAGACCCTAGACCCTAGACCCTAAACCCTAAACCCTAAACCCTAAACCCTAAACCCTAAACCCTAAACCCAAGTTCTGAATGTCACTAGGCCTCTATAGACTGGCACCCCTCTTCAGCCGACTGTTCTTGAGGTTGCGAGAGTACACCCAGCAGGCAGTATCGGTTGCGGTGGGTTCAGGGCTTAGGGTTTTAGGGTTTAAGGTTTAGGGTTTAGCGTTTTGCCCTCACTACGTACTCAAAGTTCAAAACCCTAAGCCAGTAGAACCTAAACCCCAAACCGGACTTCTTCTGGGTAGGGGTTTGATCGGGCAGAGGGCAGGATAGGATCCCCAGCCTGTACTTTGTACCCTAAAACCTAAACCCTAAAGCCTAAACCTCTAAACCCTAAACAACCCTAAACCGAGGGGTGCCCCCAAGGCGCCAAACTATAACATCGACTTATCAGGGGTCCGCCCTAAAACCTATGATCCCCATGTCAGTCTCAAAGAATAAAGAAGGCTTACATGGGGCTTTACGAAAGAAAGGGACCCCTATATATATATATATATATATATATATATAGACCTCAAAAAGTAGGATCCCCTTAGAATACAGACCCCAATCAGGTACCCCTAATTTCGGAAACTCCACATGGGGATTAGGGGTACCTTATTGGGGTCCTTGTTTTAAGGGAATCCAACTATTTGGGAACCATATTAAAGTTCCCTTAATTTCGTAAACCCAGCATGACTGGGAAGGCATCTGGCATGTAATTACTGTCTGGCAAGCCTCAGGTATGGACTTTTTTTGGTCAATCCCCCTCAACCTCAACATAGCAAAGCAAGCCCCTGCACCTCAGACCCTACCTTAAAAAGACACGAAAGCGCAAACCCGCAGTTGCTAATAGATCTAAACCCGAAACCCTGACCCTTAACCCTAAACCCCGAATGTGAGGCCTTCGGCGATGATGGGCCAAGGACGTCAAGCCCGTCTTGAGAACTCACAATGAGGGCTTCCTAAAACTAGGTTGCCCAGTATCCTAGGATTCAAAAGGGTGCCCCCTTGTTGCTTAAAGGGTTTTATAAGGGAACCTACACCCCCCAGAAAAGGGAAGAAGGGTAGTACTGGGCATCCTAGAAAATCAGGTCGAGGGTTCAAGGTTTTAAGTTTAGGGGTGTTCGGGCTGCAGTGATTTGGGTTTAGGGTTCAGCGCTAGGGTTAGGGGCTTAGGGTTCAGGGTTCAGGGTTGTTAAGTTTAGGGTTTAGGGTTTAGGGTTTGGGGTTTAGGGTTTAGGGTTTCAGGTTTAAGATTTGGGATTCCAGGTTGATGGTTTTTGGGGTTTATGGTTTAGGGTTGGGAGCCCGGCTCCCCCCCCCCCCCCCCCGCAAACCCTAAACCCTAAACCCTAAACCCTGAACCCTAAACCCTAAACCCCAAACCCTAAACCCTGAACCCTGAACCCCAAACCCTAAACCCTAAACCCTGAACCCTAAACCCCAAACCTCGGATTTTTGGGTATATTCGGGGTAGAGAGATAAACGCATTTTCCAAGCGCTCGCGTCGCAACATGGCCGCGCTGATCACAACATCGAAGCTTGGGTGAAACGAGGGATTGCGGCAGGGGGGTTTAGGGTTTAGGGTTTAGGGTTTAGGGTTCAAGCACAAAAAAGCAAGTGGGACCCCAAACCCTAAACCCTAAGTATTAGGGACTGCTGCAAATCACCACCCCCCCCCCCCCCCCCCCCCGCCCCGGCAACAAGCAATATGCACTTCGGGGCTGACGTTGTTTTCAACCCTAGACCCTAAACTTTCCTAAACCATCTATGAAACGCACTCGTGGGAAAAGGAGAACGCCCGAGAGAAACGGCTCCTGGGGAGTGTTTCCACGGGGAACAACTTCAAAAAGAGCGTGCAAACCCTTACCTGGGGTAGGATAGGAGGCCTATACAGAACAAAATATGTTCTGGCATTATACGGAGTATATATAGGGGATGAATGGTAGTAAAACCCTTACCTGGGGTAGGTTTGGGGGGCCCTTTAAACATGACTTTTTCGAGCTTTGTAGGGATTAAATAAGGGAATTCAGGGTGATTTTAAGAATCAGGTTCAAGCCTACCCTTTACTGGAGCCCAAAGTCAGCGAAACTCAGGCAAACACCGCCACGCGACCAGAGCGATGACGGAAAATGTGCTCACCTTAGCTTTGGAGTAGACCCTGGAAAAAAGGTATATACTTTTTAGGTATAAGTAGCTAGAATAGGAACCCAGAACCAAAAAAGTATTAAAGTATAGTACTCCAAGACCCAGTCACAGAGATCACACTTCCGAAGACAGGCCCGTACGGCTGGGTAGGGATCAGAAACCACACGAGATATTCTTCCAGGGTGCTACACCCGAGATAGATCGCCGACCCAAGAACCACAATGACGAGGGACATGACGATGTCCATTGGCACTCGACAATTCTGAGCACGAAGCTTCAAAGTCACGAAGCACAAAAGTTTGAGCCAGCTGGGGCAGATGGCAAAGACATGCGTAGCTGCCCTACCTTGGTAGCCCCATAGCCATATTATAATGAGCGTACCCTTTTTGGGTTGGTTACTTTACCTGAAAAGGGAAAAAGAGTACCACTGGGCTACCAAGCTACTGAGCTCAACCCACCGAGTCCAGACGGTCCAATCTCCAGAGTGGCTCGCGCTCACATCGAGCTGCATCCAGAGGAGAGGCACAGCCGCCTGTACCAAGCGATCGTATGTGAAGGCTTCGTTCGTAAGCTGCCGGACAAGAGCCATCCTGACCTCGGTTTGCACATTGGCCTCAAATGCCTCGATGGACCCAAACCAAGCCGTGATGCTCTTCGCAAGGATGACTCGATCACACGAGCGCCCCCCCGGGTGTCCTCTCGTACAGCAGTCGCAAGACGCCTTGGCAAAGGAGAAGCGTGCGACTTGCTGCTGCATGGCGTCGATGCCTCGCCAGTACGCCCTCATTCCATGCGCCAGGGGGGTTGCGATGAGGGCTAGGCAAGGAAGCACAACCAGCTGATACTGAAGCAAGGCCTTTCCCATGTGTAGCAGAAGAAGACTCAAAACAAGGAGCGCCTGGACTCCCAGCAACATCGGTCCTAGCAGCGGTGGGCAAATTCTGATCTCCGGCTCTGCTGAAGCTGGTCCTGGGGTGCCCCGACTGTAAAGGTAGCCCCCTAGCTCAAATAGGCACCACAAGCGCGTTGTGAAAGTTGAATCATAGAGCACCAGGAGCCGCTTCGACTTCTTCAAGATCGCACCCAGGCTAATGAGGCCCTCAAGCTTCTTCACCGGCTCCTTCTGGTTGATGCATGCGATGTCTACGAAGGCACGCACCCGACGACGGCAAAGAAACAGCGTCAAGAAGTAGGCCGCCATGCCAGAAAAGCTGCACCAGCTGCAACGAAACGGGCCAAGAGTCCATTCTGGCAGACATCCCATCAGGAAAAGAGCGAAGGCGATGCCGGAACAGACCAGGCTGACGACGCAAGCTGGCCATGCGTTGTTCAGAAACAGGGCATTCAAATACTTGGTCCAAGCCGCAAGGCGCCAGCTGTGGGACCAAAACTCATCGATCTGCAGGACCCTCTCGCTGAATTGGTGCATTTCTCGCAGTTGCCCCTGCCACCAGTACCACGGCGCGTGCCGCAAAAGCTTGTGGATCCGAATGCCTCGAACTACGTCCGGGCTCGTGGCCTCCATAGACACGATGAGGTCAACCAGGGACTCGATCGCCTCCTGGGGGGTTTCCGAAATTAGGGGTACCTTTTTGGGGTTCCCCTCATAAGGGAACCCTACTAATTGGTTCTAAATTAGGGGTCCCCTATCTTCGTAAACCCCCTCCTCAGCGTGTTCAGCTGGAGGGTCGACATCGGACACTGACGTTTCCTCCTGTGCCCTGAACTCAAGCCGCTCGGTGGGAACGCCAAGGCACTCTTCCAGCTTCTCACTGGACATGGCAACTAGCACAGAGCTCTATTGATTGCTTCTAGCAGCATGGGGGAAAATGAGGTTCTTGGTTTTTCCAGAGATATGAGAACCCAGTGTGTTAAAGTTCGGTGCATAGCGTACGCTGAGCATTGAACCCCTGCGAGAACGCTGCGGAATGCTACAGATTTGGCTTTACTTACAGCTGCGGGCGTCGGCCATCTACTTCCTGCAAAATGATGCAGTTAAAGCCTATATCCCTAAATCCTAAACCGGAAGCCCTAAAGCCGCTTACCTTACCCACCAGGACTCACCCTTACTGCCATTCCCACAATTACCCACCATTACACACCATGCCCACCACAACCCAACATTACCCACCATTGCCCACCATGACCCCATGAACCATGACCAGCATGGGCGATTATTATACCCTATCACCCCTGAAAAAGGACCTTTACAGGGTTGATTGTGGGGATTATAGGGCCGAATAGCATATTCTGGCATTTCCCACCGTTACTTGCGCACCCCTCCCGCCATTACCCGCCCAAAGAGCCCCATCCAGTGTCACTTCAACGGTGCACAAGAGGCCCTAAAAGCTAAACCCTAAACCCTAAACCCTAAACCCTGACGCTCGGCCTCTTGTGCTGCGCGGAGACGCAGATGCCATGGGAGAAGGCCTGGCGCGAGGTGGGAGCTCTCTCCATGGTGCTTTCTAGACTTGGAAGGTTAAGGGTTTAGGGTTTAGGGTTTAGGGTTTAGGGTTTAGGGTTTAGGGTTTAGGGTTTAGGGTTTAGGGTTTAGGGTTCGGGGAAAAGGGCTTGGGGTCATACTGGGGGCTTACGGTTTTCGGGTTTAGGACCTCGAGAGGTTTCGGGCATTGGGTCTACCAGTGTTTAGGACTTAGGGCCTCGGATATGTCGGAGTTGAGGGCTATTTATCAGTTTCATGAAGACCCTAAACCCTAAACCCTAAACCCTAAACCCTAAACCCTAAACCCTAAACCTGAGGATCCCGAATCCCTTATCCTTACAGCAGCCCAAGAACCCAATCCCGATCCACCCGCGGCCCCAAACCCCGCAACCCCAAGAGCCTAGACGCCCAAAATTCCCGAATCCCTCTACCCTAAACCCTAAACCCTAAACCCTAAACCCTAAACCCTAAACCCTAAACCCTAAACCCGAAACCCTAAACCTAGCCACTGTATCCCCAACATTCCTAAAACCTAAACACCTAAATCCTCAGCCCCAACTGGTCTGCTGCTCAAGAACTCCAGTTCAGTTGCCCAGCTTCCGGATGCCTGGTGATTGAACTTGCTTCCTTCGTTTGGCTACCCAACACAAAAATGTTCGACAGCAGCCCAGCCACACCCTGCCTAAACTCTAAACCCTAAACCCTAAACCCTGAACCCTAAACCCTAACACCCTGAACCCCTAAACCGCCCCCACCCATACCGTGCTGCCCCGCACCCCAAGCAGTCCGTGAGACTGGCCTGGCGCTTCGCTCGCAGCGGCGCACATTTGAGCCGATTCTGCTATTGGGGTTTAGGGTGTGGGGGTTTTAGGGTTTGGGGGTTTAGGGTTTAGGGTTCAGGGGTTTAGGGTTCAGGGGGTTTAGGGTTTAGGGTTTAGGGGTTGAGGGTTTAGGGTATAGGGGTCTTAGGGGCCTTCGGGGCCTTCGGGGTTCGGGGTTTAGAGTTTAGAGGCCTTCGGGGCTTCGAGGGTTTCGGGTTTTTGGGCTTGGGGTTTAGGCTATTAGGGGTTTAGGGTTTTGGGGTTTAGGGTTTTACGGTTCGGGGTTTAGGGGTTGAGGGTTTAGAAGTTCGGGGTCTTCAAATGGGTCTGCTCGAAGAGGCTGTAGGGGGTCGGGGGTTTAGGGAGAAAATGTTAACCTAAGGAGTGATTCTAAAACCAGAACAAACTTTTCACACGTCTTCTTATTCTTCTTCTAGGGTAGTTGCATAGTCCCTTAATATGGGATCCTTAAACGGGGACCCCTTGTATACCTCGCCTATACGCTATACAACCCAACAACCCATGCATCAGAACCCTTTAGAGGAGGTAAGGGACCATATTGGGGCCATATTTAGGGACGATGAAACCAACCCTAAACCCTAAACCCTAAACCCTAGAGCTCTAAGAACAGCTTGGCCTGGGGCACGTTGGGGGTGCAGGGATGCAGTCCTTGTCTAGGGTTCCGCAGATTTCGGGTGTAGAGAAAAATCCTAAACCCCTAAACCTCTAAACCCCCAAACCATGAAACCCCTAACCCCTAAACCCCTGAACCCTTAAACCCTAAACCCTAACCCCCTAAGCCCCTAAACCCTAAGCCCTAAACCCCTATTCCCCTATTCCCCTAAACCCTAAACCCTAAACCCTAAACCCTAACCCCTAACCCCTAAACCCTAAACCCTAAACCCTAAACCCTAAACCCTAAACCCTAAACCCTAAACCCCGGCCTGGCGCCAGGGCCTCCTTGAGTTCGAGAGGGCCCCAGTGAACCTCTCGGGCCACTTTTGGGCGCCACACCTCCAGGAGTTTAGGGAGTTTGGGGTTTAGGGTTTGGGGTTTAGGGTTTGGGGTTTAGGGCTAGGGTTTAGGGCCTGTTTGGGGTTTGGGGTTTAGGGTTTGGGGTTTGGGGCTAGAGTTTGGGGGTTTTGGGGTTTAAGGTTTGGGGCTTTTGGGGGGGGGGGGGGGGGGTTAGGGTCCCTTGAGGGTGGGGAGAGTTCTTCACGGCAACATTCTTCTCTTCACTACTAGCAACAGCATTGGATTACAAACAGTCGGTCGGTCTTTTAGCATTATGATTGCTCTGTTCTTGTGGGGGTACTTGGGCTGTAATCTTCATCTTCCTAGGCTGCCCAGTAACCTAGGCTTAAAAAGGGTGCCCTTTTTGCTTAAAGGGGTTTATAAGGGAACCTAAACCCCCCAAAAAGGGAATGAGGGCACTCCTGGGCATCCTAGCTTCTGTTTGGCGCGCGGAAGGGGGTTGAGCATTGAGGGCTCCGGAGTTGATGCTTCAGAGTAGACTGTGATAGGGACGATTTCGGTCAACCCAAACCCCAAACCCCAAACCCTAGCCCTAAACCCCAAACTCCCTAAACCCTACAAACCCTGACCCTGAACACTAAACCCTAAACCCTAAACCCTAAACCCTAGACCCTAAACCCTAGCCCTAAATCCTAAACTCCCTAAACCCTACTTGCAGATGTCCACCCCCGGCCTTGGCCCGCCGTACGGAGTGCTTCTTGCGCATGGCGGCCATGGGCAAGGGTGTGTTCGGAGTTCAGGAGATCTGGGGGTTTTGGGGTTGAAGGGTTTTACGGTTTACTGTTCTGGGGTTAGGGTTTAGGGTTTTAGGGTTTTAGGGTTTTAGGGTTTTAGGGTTTTAGGGTTTTAGGGTTTTAGGGTTTTAGGGTTTAGGGTTTAGGGTTTAAAGGTTTAGGGTTTAGGGTTTAGGGTTTAGGGTTTAGGGTTTAGGGTTTAGGGTTTAGGGTTTAGGGTTTGCAAAGGTTTTCCGGCGTCGGGTCTAGGGTTTTAGTTTTTTTGTTCCGAGAATAGGGGCACCCATTTTTGGGAGGTTCCCGATAACAAGGATGAGAGTCTCGGGAGCTTGTTTAGGAGCCCGACTGACCCGTCTTGGGCAATTAGGCGGGTTTCGAGGTCTTCCCGGACTTCGCTCCTGGCGGGCTCCTGCACGGGTCAAAGCACACACAACGTCGTGCTCGAGCCACACCCTGGCAAAACATGGCGAAAAGGTCTCAGCACCAGGTGAATCCCCAAACAAGAAACCCAAGCCTTAAACCCGAAACCCTAAACCCTAAACCCTAAACCCGAAACCCGAAAGCCCAAGCCTCACAAAGCGCTCTTCAACCCTCAAAGTCGCCCTGCATCCGAAACCTGTCAGCCCCTGATTGCAGGCTTGGCGGTTTAGGGGTTTACTGGTTTTGGGGGTTTAAGGTTTAGGGTTTAGGGTTTAGGGCTAGGGTTTAGGGCGCCTTTGTTCTGAGGAAAACAGGCTTTGGGGGTTAGATTGCACGGCTCAGGACTTTGGGGGAAATTCAGGGCTGGATATGCAGCTTTCAAGGCTAGGTCTTTGCCTGCACCAGTGGCACCCCCATCTCCCAAGAACCTTAGAACCTTAGGTTTCGGAGGCTCCCCAAACCCTAAACCCTAAACCCTAAACCCTAAACCGCCCAAACCCTACACACCCCAAGGGCTCCCAACCATGCCATAACATGACAGAATGCCCAGTCCCCGGCCGTCTACGGTCTCTGTTCGCTTTCCCTGAGAAGTTTAGGGTTTAGGGTTTAGGGTTTGGGGTGAGAGCTTCGGTTCTGGGTTTCGGGGTTTAGGGGGTTGAGGGGTTTAGGAGTTTAGGGTTTAGGGTTTGGGGGGGTTTAGGGGTTTGAGTTTAGGTTTGGGTTTGGAGTTTAGGGGTTTAGAGTTTGGGGTTTAGGGGTTTAGGGGTTTAGGGGTTCAGGGGTTCAGGGGTCTAGGGGTTTAGGGGTTTAGGGGTTTAGGGGTTTAGGGGTTTAGGGGTTTAGGGGTTTAGGGGTTTAGGGGTTTAGGGGTTTAGGGGTTGGGGGTTTGGGGGTTTCGGGGTTTGGGGGTTTAGGGGTTTAAGGTCTCGGGTTTAGGGTTTAGGGTCTCGGGTTTCGGGTTTGAGGCTTTGGGCTTCGGGGTTGGGAGTTGGAGTAGGGTCTTGGGGCTTCGGGTTTAGACCAGGGTGCTAGGGCTCAGGGCTTAAGGGCTTAGAGTAGGGTTGTGGGATTAGACTAATTTAGTGTTGCCAGGCTTAGGTCAACGCTAAACCCTGAAGGGCTCTTAGCAGGGTTTAAGGCCGGAGGGTTCTTGAGGCTCAGAGGGACTTCGCGCGAGACTTCGGTTGGGTCTGGGTGAGAGGTTTAGGGTGGCGTTTTCGGGTTTAGGGCTTTAGGGTTTTAGGGGTTTAGGGTTTAGTAGGGTTTAGTGGGGTTCAGTAGGGTTTAGTAGGGTTTAGTAGGGTTTAGTAGGGTTTAGTAGGTTTAG